CTTAAACAAATTGATATTCCTGGCTTTTATAAATATGCAATATTTTTCCTCTAGTGCGTACAAATAGTTCACTTCATCTATAGCAAATAGGGCAAAACTAGGGATGTGTTTGTTTCGCGGAAAATGAATGTTCTGAAAAATATTTTCCTAAAAATGATTGCTTGTATTGCCTATAAAAATGAATGAATGAAAAATATCCATCATCTGTGTATATCAACTGTTGTCGATAATGAAAACATTTTTTATTGATTAGTTATTTCAAGAAATACAAGCAATTATTTTTAAGTAAATATTTTCCAAACAGATTATTTTACACGAAATAAATAGAGCGTAGGTTAAGATGTCCTCGTACATCGTCATCGACCATGTATCTGGAGATTGAGCAACCTTGCCCAACACATAGTCAATCTAATAACTTGATTTGATGTGTCATGCATGTGTGCATATTTTTTTTTTTTGTTGAGAAATTTAGGGTGTCTCTAGAGCACTTATCGAGTTTCGTTGACGTGCTTTGAAAATATAAAATCGCCCATTTCCAGTAATTAATCTTCTTACATCGTGTACTTTTCCAATCTTCGAAGTGTCTCGAAAAGAGAATTTTCTTCTATTTTTTTTAGGTAAATTTAATTAGTGCCCTGGGGCAACTTGTAACAACTAAGATAGCACATATCACACGGAAGATATATATGGTGATGGAGAAAAATCGTCATATGTATGACCTTTCGCGTTAGAAAGAGACAGGCTTAATAAAAAAAAAAAAGGACGTAAATTAATTATTTTGTTAATTAAATTGAAGATTAAAGCTATTCTTGAAGGGTGGGGACGAATTCAATTGGCATCATCAATTGGCGTGAAGCATGCGAATTACAAGATTTCACCATCCAATGAACGCAGTACCTAAGTCAAATTAAATATGTCGCAACCATGCCCAAGTGAAATGCTTTTTGTCATTCCCACACAAAAATGTTGGACTTTGCATGCATGATGCCAATTTCTTCGAGAATTACCATGTCGTGTGCTTATTATATTATATTTACATGCTTATTTATTTATATAATCTCTTGTCCCAATGCCGCCTCATTTTGTCCATTGCAAAAAAATTCGAAGAATATTATTCTTCGCGGGATAAAATCAACCATTCTTAGCCCGCTCTTGGGTGCATTTCAAGCGATGTGGATCAATGACCTACTTAAATAGTTATGTGTAGACAAGAGAGTCGGGACTTTTCTGAGTTAGTTGCGAATTTATGCATTTTCCTTAATGATATCGACTTCGATCGAGACACAGGAAATAGTATTCGGTACCTCGACCGTTCGAAGAAATTGCATTGATGCTGCTACTTTGAGCGAGTCGGATACATTTTTTTTGGCTTGTGGCTTTTGGACTGTGTAGAGAACTACTCCTTCCCTTAATATACCTTAGTCTGTTTATGTTTCTAATAACGTATACTGCAATGTCATTTCTTGTTTCGCCGTATATATGTATATCACATATTGCATCAAATTAACATGGATTACCATGCAATGACGCGCCATCGTTTTGTATGCCACGATAAGGTCCAGTTTACTAAATCCAGTCTACCCTAAGTAAAAAAAAGTCAATTTTTGCTGGTGGTGAAAGTAATTTTTCACATGTATATAAAATGAGTATGACAAAAATAATTTGGCAAAAAGAGCAATCGGGGGGTAAAGTATTAATTAATTAATTAATTAATTTAGAATATGTTGTACTGTTGGCCATTAACGTTGTCAAAACCAAGACGATAGCCACCGAAAAGATTATAGAAATTAAAAAATAAGAGCGTGGGAATCATGTACTCTACATCTTTTCCTTTGTCGAAGATGTAAATTTCCTTTTGAACATTTTTAAAATGGAAAACCACATCGTATATTCTCATTTCTTTTTTATGCTTTGTGATTTTTTTTAATTATAGTATAAAAGCCTCAATCATAGAGTCGAAAAGTATAAGTTTACAGTATAGTGCTTCGGCCAAAAGTCACCGCACAACAAAAATGTAAAGTCACGTGCGGAACCAAAAATGTCGAATAAAAAAGAACGATCTTTGCGAACGTATTTCCGAGAGAAAAATAAATATATATTCAACATCCTGAAAATGAAACATGATTAAATCGCCGAATATTCTAACAATCAGGCTGCAGACCATGCGCCAAAAGTTCCTTTCATAGAGAATTGTCAAAATTCAACGCACTTCCTCACCCAAAAAAAATAATAAAAGAGGAGGATACGCTCGCTTTTAATCCCCTCTTATCGAGTGTATTAGACTCAAAAATAGAGATTTATCCTAATTAAAGTATTCACACGCTCATAAACCGACGTATAAAGAGGGTATCTGTTAGAAGTGTTTTTCAAGAATCCTGGCAAAATAAAAATTATTTATTTCTCGGGTATGATGTGTGGTATTAATTAATTATGGTAGGTGTTTTCAATACGCCTAATCGAAAAGGGACATCTCAATATTATTGCAATAATTGGAGTTTTGAAAAATTAAAAAAAAAAGGGGCCAATTACTTTTCAGTTGCACCTAAAGTCAACACGTATCAAAATCACAATTTATCGCAAACGCAGGCATACGTCGCAATCGCGATCATTGGGCCAGTCAATTTCGGACGGGCGTCGAGCTGTACTATATAGCCGCTGCCCGCTTGCGGGGTTCGAATTGGTCGCTAGTTTTTCAGAAAATGAAATGAAATGGTTCATTAATCGTTCTCGGCGACCAAGCTCTTTGCTCGTGCTTTCAAAAAAAAACAAAAGAGGAAATTTCGGGCTCATGATCGCGAGGGAACTCGCACCGGTCAATTTCTACAGGCAAACCTTACTTTTAGGGGCGAGCGATTTCAGGTTCCGTGGAACTTTGAACCTTCAACCTAGAGATGTGACGCAAGTTGGAGGATTCGAACTCGCGTTAAGTGGGTAGGATCAAAGGAGTACCGCCGGTTGCGCCGCACCCCGTGAACTCTTATACGCCGATTAAAGTCTTTAGGACATATGGATCTCGGTGGTTTGTGTTAATAAGCAATCGAAAATAAGTAAATCACATGCATTCGTACTTTTTTCCGTCCCCATAATAATATATATATTTTTAGGGACTTAACCATTGTCGATAAAAGGAGACCCTGATTCGTATGAACGATGCAAACGCCAACGCAGCAGCACATACCGAAAAGCACGTGGAAGCTTTTGCATGCTCTGTCGGAAATTAACATCAAAGCGTCGTGAATTCCACACGCGTTACTAATCAAAGAATCGGTCGATGCTTTTCCTGATAAACATGGTGGTTTTGATCGTAAATAAGCGCGAAACTTGGCGAGTTCCGATGCTTCACGTCAACTCGTGACGAAAGGAATTAAACCGACTCTCCCTTTCGTGAGGGGCATCTTATCCCATGATGCTGCATTTACCGTGTAGAGAAGCTAACGCGACAAAAGTTGCTGGATGAGTAATACCAGCTGTCGCGGACGTGTTTTGGCCCACTTGCTTTCCTAACACGAGCTGCCCAAAAGTTAGCTCCAGAGAGCAAAAATGCTTTTCGCTCGAATTATTATTACATCCAAAGCTTCTTAGCTTCCCCAGAAACATCCATTACCAACGAGGACAGCGTTAAAATGTCTGTTTAAGCACGTTATAACCGTGTCATTTAAGCGACGTGCGATGTCAAGAATCGAATTCTTAATCCCATATTTCTGATATCATGTTAGAGATTATCTAATCTAAAAACTTGGGCTTTTAGTTAGATAGAGATTACATGCATAACGGTGACATCATAAGCAATGTGAGATTACAGTTAATGGGCGAAAAAAGATGACTAGCCAACTCGAACCGGAGAGTTAAACTTGAAAATATAAAGAAAACCCAAGCTTAACCATCTTTAGCAGCTAAAAATAACTTCAAAAACTAGAAAAAGTGAAAGGAGAAAATGCAAAAATAATAGCTATATGTCTAGCCCTCACAATTATATTTTAATCAAAATCGATGAGTAATAAGATAAAAGAAAAATGGTTGAGTAAAAAGAGGGGAAAAGAGCGCGTCGAGGACCGAACTAAAGAGTTCGTCAAAGGGCGGAGCCAACCCAAATACACCGAGTCTGCACTTCTCCTTCACACGCCATTGACCGGATTGAGACATTCTCCCTGTATCTCACCGCCCCCCCCCCCTCTTCGTTTGAACGGACTTCGAATCCAGTCCATGCCTCGAGAACAGTCCCGTCATTTATATTTCGAATAGCATCGACCCGCGTGATTTTATAAATAAAAAATACCACAAAAAATTCTAAACTATATCACTTATGATAAATTTATCATGAATTTTTTTTTACGATACGAAAAATCTCAAATTATGTCACTTGTGACATATTTACTCCACAATACTTTTCCCAAGGGCATTTTCGTCTTTTTCCTTTTTATGTTCTTTTTTCCTTTTTTGTTTTTTTTTTCTTCTTTCTTCTCTCTTCCCTCCGCCGACCATGGCGGAGGGAAGCCAGCGAGGGTGACCCTCGCTGGCATCGGCCGAGGGTCGCCCTCGCTCGCCCTCGCCCGACGCCGGCGAGCAACCCTCGCCCGCCCAGGCGAGGGTCGCCCTCGCCGGCTTCCTTCCGCCATGGTCGGCGGAGGGAAAAGAGAAGAAAGAAAAAAGGAAAGAGATGAAAATGCCCTTGGGCAAAAGTATTGTGGGGTAAATGTGTCACAAGTGGCATACTTTCAAATTTTTCGTGTCCCAAAAAAAAAGTTCAGGATAAATTTATCACAAGTGATATAGTTCGGGATTTTTGGTGGTATTTTTCATTTTATAAATTACACAACATTTTCTCGTGCTCTATAGGAAAACGAAGAAAAAAGGCCCCGGTGTACAATTCCCCGAACGACATGTATCGATTTCGACGCGACCGTAACCATGCACGCGACCTTCCATAATTCGTCCATGACATATCGTAACACATCACGGACATTTGAAAATTATTACTAATTTCAATAAGCTTGGACACCTTACACAAGGGAAGATCAGCTCATAGAATCACAGAAAACCTCACACGCATTCTCTCCACTGTGAATACTGAACATCATTAATGGACGAAACGAAGCTGCTTGGTTGGGAGTTGTTCGCATTGCAGAAGGTTTTTGACTGAACGAGCGATGCAGCGCCAATATATATAATCCCTGTTCGGACGCGTTGCCTCAATATCGTCACACGCTCTGTCTTTCTTTCTCTTCATATTTGACAGCCCTGAAAAGGCTCTGCCACCTTTCAACAGAAGGTATAGAAAAGCGCTTCCCCCATTTGCAATTTCCCTTCGCTCCTTCCTCTCTCTCTCCAAGCACTACAAAAGAGAGACGAAATAAGAAAGGAGCTCCCTTGAGCCTCAAAAAGCAGGACTCGGTTGCTGTCTCCGCTTCACATACAACCCCCCTCTCCCTCTCTTTCTTCGTTTCTGTGTGGAAAACAACCCCTCTTGAGGAAATCCCTTTGTAGCCGCTCTCAATATCCCTTCCTTGCGTGTTTCTCACAAATCCCAGTTCGGTTCGTTTCGTTTCAAAGCGTGAGGCTTTGTGCATCAAGGCCAGGCAAGAAGAAAAGATCTGTTTTTTGGTGTTTTGTTTTGTGTTTGTGAACGAACTTTCTGGGGATTCGAGAGAGATGGTGCACCACCAGAGGTTCCATCAGTGGAGGAAAGGCGAAGCCCATATCTTCGACGACGAAGAGCATGGCTTCGTCGTGCTTGACTGCGCGAGCTCCGGTTTCAAGAGGAAGAAGCCCAAGCTCTTCTACCTCCTCCTTATCTCTCTTGTGTCTTGCAGCTTTGTGTTGTTGGTCCCTGAGCTGTTCGGTTCCAGTAGCCTCTCTCTCTTGTGTAAGCTCTCTCTCTCTCTCTCTCTCTCTCTCTCTGGGTTTTGCTTGTTTGTCTTTGTTCCTCTTTATTTTGCTCTGTTTTGTTGTTTCTTTCCACTTTTTCTTGATGGTCTCTCTGGTGGGTTTTGGCAGATTCGTTCGGCGTGGACAGTGAAGGCGCTCGTGAGAACTACGACGCAAATGCCCCTCCTTGTTCTTCAATGTCTAATGGTGGGTTCTCACTCCTGTTCTGCATCTTAAAAAGGCAAATAAAAAAGAAGTAGAAAAAAATTATACGAGATGTTGAACGAAATCCATTTGTATTTGTTCATCGAAGTTTTTTCTGTATGCCTGTTTAACAGCTAAAAAAGGTGGACAACAAGTTGTGTTTTCGGAACTTCGATACTTCATAAACTGCTGCTCTCTGTTTTTTGCCCTCAGTTCCTCTGTTGGGTTGAAACATAGCTTAATCAGAGAACATAATCATCCCAGAAATTTCATTAGTTATGGCTTATTCTTTTGCTCGTTATGGTATCTTGTGCCCTCATTGCGTAACTAAATTCTAGGCTGGACTACTTGAATCTCTCTTAGCCTTTTCCCAATTGTGAATTTAAGCATTTTGTCACAAAAATTTGCAGGGACCATATGCTGTGACAGAAGCGGCATCCGCACTGATGTGTGCATCATGAAAGGGGATGTGAGGACACACTCTGCCTCTTCTTCAGTCTTCCTTTATAGTTCCAAACAGACGAGTGGGTTTGTTGACTTGTTCTCGAGCTTTCTCGGAGTAGCCGAAGACAGTGATGATGAGGAACTCCAGCACGACAAGATAAGGCCCTATACCCGAAAATGGGAGAGCACTACCATGGAAACTATCGATGAGCTAGACCTTGTCGTGAAGAAAGATATTGCGGGCGCTCACCATCGGTGCGATGTCTGGCATAATGTCCCCGCGGTGTTCTTCTCGACAGGAGGCTACACAGGTAACGTCTACCATGAATTTAATGATGGGATTCTACCGCTGTACATTACTTCGCAGCATTTCGAGAAGGAGGTGGTGTTTGTCATCCTTGAATATCACAATTGGTGGATTACAAAGTACGGGAACATCCTTTCTCACCTCACGAATTATCCGCCGATCGACTTTAGTAGAGATAAAAGAACCCATTGCTTTCCTGAAGCCATTGTTGGTCTGAAAATCCACGATGAGCTCACTGTGGATCCGTTGCTGATGAAGGGGAAAAAGAGCATCCTCGACTTCAGACATTTACTTGACCGTGCTTACTGGCCGCGGATTAGTGGTTTAATACAAGACGAGGAGCAAGAGATGCAGCTGAAACTGAACCAGTCGCCTTCAGGGCCAGTACGGGTGCAATCGATGAAAATCAATAAACAGGATCAGAAACCCCGACTGAAGAAACCGAAGCTAGTAATATTATCACGCAGTGGGTCAAGGGCGTTATTGAACGAGGATTGCTTGATTAAAATGGCAGAGGACATGGGGTTCCAAGTAGAAGTTTTGAGGCCTAATAGAACAACTGAATTGGCGAAAATTTATCGCGTGCTTAATTCGAGCGATGTTATGATTGGTGTACACGGGGCTGCGATGACCCATTTTCTCTTCATGAAGCCTGGTTCTGTGTTCATCCAAGTTGTTCCTTTAGGGACAGATTGGGCGGCCGATACATATTATGGTGAGCCTGCAAGAAAGCTTGGTTTGAAGTATATCGGGTATGAGATTTTGCCTAGAGAGAGCTCATTGTATAGTGAATACGATAAAGCCGACCCGGTCCTTACGGATCCAAAGAGTGTGACAGACAAGGGATGGGAATACACTAAGAAGATCTATCTTGATGGCCAGAATGTGAGCTTGGACATGAGGAGATTCCGCAAGCGGCTGCTTAAAGCTTACGACTATTCCTTCTCGAAAATAAACTGGCATGGCATGCCAATCTTCCGCTGAAGTTCCAGTCAACGGTTTCGCTTGATTAGCTTTGTCGTTCATATATTCTTTGCCATTTTTTGTCGTTACATTTCATTGCTGTACATTGCAACCAGGACAGTCCTTTTGTACAGGTTAGAGATTTTATTCACAGTTTTTCTTTTTCATGTACAAGGTATGCACCAAAGTAAGTTCTTTTTTTTGGTCTTTGCGCAATCGCAATGTAGTAGAGATAGACATGGTAAGCGAGGTTTCAATAAGAATCTTTTGCTATTATGTGTAAAGTGGATAGAAATGGGTCCTTAACTGTCGAATTAGTTGCAATCACACTACCAAGTTGGCCAAGCCTTGCTAAATACTCTGTTCTCTCCTGCTTCCTTAAACTAGTGTTACAACTTTTTCCATCGACTTTCTTGGCTGAAGTTGAATACACACTCTCATCTGCAATTTCAGTTTTCAAGGTCAATCTCTTAATTCAGTGGCAAAAACGAAGGGTCAATTTCTTACTTCTTGATGCAAGTCCAAGGCATGTTTAAGAAAAACATATGCTTACAATCGAGAGAGATGACTTGTTTTCCTCTGTCAGGTTCATCATTAACTTGTACAGAGGGCATTTTCAATAATTTCCAGGTCCCAAATTTTTCTTTTTAAAAAGATTGAAAGCTTTTAGGATGACAAATTTCCAGGTCCCATTTCATGTGCGTTTTCCTGACAATAGGACCTTTGAGTTTCATGAAGTTATGCTCTTGATATCTTTTGGCTAAAATAGCAGTTTCTGGAGCAGAGTGCTGTCAGAGTTTTCAGGAATCTTGTTTTTCTTTGTAAAGTTCGAGAGGATAATGTAAATGTAAGGCAACAGCTATATGCTTGGTTGTATCCTTAACTAGATTAAGCTGAAATTGGTAACAAATGGGCAAGTGATCCACTTTCAAATTATGAAAAATATAAGGGTTAATATCACAAAAAATCAGGAAAATTTCAAAAAGGGACCCGAAGTGGAGTCATTTTCTTAAATAAGGACTTGAAATGGATATTATGTCAAATAAGGGCTTGAAGTGGCTAAATCGTCTCAAATAAGGATCTTTGGCTGGCCGGTGACTATTCCGTCACCGGAGAAGGGGTATTTTAGAAAAAATAAAAAAATAATTTTTTTTTATTTTTTTTACTTTCATTTTCTTTTCCTTTTTCTTGTTTCTTTTTCCTTTTTTCTGCTTCGCTTCCCAGCGTCATTGTGCTTGGCCGGCGACCTCCGTTGGCCTCAGGCAAGAGTCGCCCTCGCTGGTGTTGGGCAAGGGCCGCCCAGCTTGTGTCGGGCAAGGGTCGCCCTCGCCAGATCCGGAGAGGGCAGCCCTTGCCTGACACCGGAGAGGGCGGCCTTCGCCTGAGGTCAGCGACCTCCGCCAGCCGGGGCCGGTGGAGGGAAGAGAGGAAAAAAAAAAGGAAAAAGGAAAAACAGAAAAAGGAAAAAAGAAAGAAAAAAAAGAAAAGAATTCAAAAAAGTAAAAGACGAAAATATCCTTTGGCCAGTGAGAATAGGTCCTTATTTGACACTGATATGGTCACTTCATGCTCTTATTTGAGACAATGTCTGCTTTTGACCCTTATTTGAGAAAATAACTCTATTTTGGGCTCATTTTTGGAATTTTCCTCGAAAAACCCTAAACTGGTACACCTGTGACAATTTTACCTTGAACTAATTTTTTGACTACCAAAAATCCCAAACTGGTACATCTGTGACAAATTTACCCCGAACTATTTTTTTGACTACCAAAAACCTCACACTGGTACACTTGTGACAATTTTACCCAGAACTAATTTTTTAACCACCAAAAACCCCAAACTGGTACACCTGTGACAATTTTACCCCAAACTAATTTTTTGACTACTAAAACCCAAAACTGGTACATTTGTGATAAATTTACCATCCGTTAGTGTCCGTCAAATTGGATTAATATCACGAAAAATTACAAATTGGTAAACTTGTGACAAGCAGAGAGGTAAAACCCCAAACCAATACACCCGTCAACTACCATGTGTCGTCAAACTTAGCAATTTGACAGTAAAATTTAACGGAAACTAACGGAGGGTAAATTTATTATAGGTGTACCAATTTGAGATTTTTGGCGATCAAAAAATTAATTCGGGATAAACTTGTTACAGTTGTACTAGTGTGAGGTTTTTGGTGTTAAAAAAAATAGTTCGGGGTAAAATTTTCACAGGTATACCAGTTTAGGCTTTTTTGTAGTTAAAAAAATAGGTTTGGGTAAATTTATCGTAAGTGTACCAGTTTGGGGTTTTTCGTGGTATTAACCCAAAATATAAGTTGCTGGTCGGAGTTTTTTCAAAGGGTGACTGATCCCATAAATTGCATTGTATTTCTTTTATTGAACTGAGCCAGTTATGTAAGTTCATATGCACCTGCCGACTGCCGTATCATCATTAATGCCAAAATCAACTAACCTTAGTTGGATGATACCATGTTAGCGTCATGTCATGTGTGTTTATTTAAATATTAAAATCACACTTTCGTTAAAGAGTTTAAGCCTTTAGTGTCATCTGATAGTGGTCGCAAAAGAATTTACAATATAAATGTCGAGCTTCACTTTATCCCGAATTCTAAGCTGTATACATCGAAGAGCAGAGGCACCTGATATGTTCCACGAACTCTGTTAAATGACGGCTTCAATGACAGTCAGAGATTCTGAGAACAATAGACAGGAGCAGTTGTGTTTGGAAATACTGGCTTGGAGATTCTGATTTTCATTTCAAGAAACTTGGGTCGATGTATATGTACACGAGCAATGTGTAAAGCCCAAAAAATTTCTATTGCATTCGTCGGTCGATTTTCTAATCACTCGTGTCAGAACTTACGGTCAGCTCCGAGTGGAAACACCACTGCAATATGTGATCTAACACTTAAATTTCGCCTTATCTCGCCATATCCCGCACTTTGTTGTCTTCAATGATGGGTGAGGCTGGAGGAGGCGTCTCAGCATTTCTTGCGTCTTTTATATCTTATCCAGAGAACAAAAGCGGACACTCAGATGGTCGAAACACCGCTGCAATAGGTGATCGAACCGGCCATATATAGCTGTACCCAGGACTTTGCCGTCTTCGATGATGGGTGAGGTTGGAGGAGGCGTCTCAGCATTCCTTGTGTCTTTCATATCTTATCCAAAAGAACGAAAGCGGATACTCAGATGAGGGACAAAAATGAGATGTAAACGTACATTGCTGTTTAATTATCTTGATTCTGACTGACCGTACTTGGTGGGCTTGCCAAGATAATACCTGCGAGACTGGACTGAACTGGACATTTGAACCGCTGTTAGTGATTGTCTACGAAGTGTCATTGCGTTAGCTGCAATTGCTGATCCTCCATTGTAAATGAATGTGGTCGAGCCTCTGACAGGCGAACAAGCTTCTGTCAAATTTCTTTGGTTGCTGCTGTTGCATAGACCACAAGTTTTAGTGGCGGACACCTATGTGAACGGATTCGCAAGTCATTCTTCAGTCAGAATTTGGAGTCGCATCATGTGCATTTTATACTCTACTGAATTTGTCGAATGCAGACGATTAAGTAAAGAAAACATGATACCATACCTCTTTTCGGATCCATTGATGAGCTTCCCCATAAGGTGTGCTGTGATGTCCTTAACATGAGATATGATGCCATTGGCACTCCGTGTGTTCAAGGATCGGTACAAAGGGTGAGCTCTCCTTGCAACACAATCTGGGTCTCGTTTCTGCTAGCTACGAGCCCGTTCAGGACTAGGAATCTTCCTTAGCTCGGAGGGGGAATTCACACGTCAAAGGAATCGGTCGGGCTCTGGCGGCCTTTCAAGGGTGATTCTCTGTCGCGGAATCCTGCTGGTTCAGACAGTCGCAGGACCTGAGAATTTCTGTATCTCGGAACTAGGGAGCGCTTGATCGAGGCATCCTGACCTTTGATCTGATTAACAAATCTGCATCAGGGTTCACATAAGCAAGCATTAATCTCTTCGAAGTCATGGCATAAAGAAACATAGTCATCTCTTATTCTTTGAGATGCTGAGTAATTAGCACTTTTAATCGTAAAATGGTGCTTCGCCAACTCGTGAGACAAATTGGCGTTTCGAAATTGGTACCTAGAAAAAATCATGTAGGAGAAGCGTCAGGAAGCCTGACGTGGGAGTTCTTCTGCGCCCATAGCCATGATAGCATCTCCCAAACAGAATGGACAGTGCCTCCGTCAGCCGCCGGAGGCCGAAAACTCGGGCCTGGAGGAGAACGTGACGACCATGCATACGGCAGGATAAGCATACATAAGCACGGGTCAGGCCGAAAACAGAGACGTCGGAGGAGAGGGGGAAGAGGGGGAAGATGGAGACGTTCTCTATCCGGTCAATGACGGGACACACACACTGTCTCTCTCTCTTCCTCCTCTTCATGAATAAACTTTGAATCCATGCCCAAGGGAAGAAGAAAAGGGCACCGCTTGCGTTATTCTCGAAAACCCAGTCTCGAACCGTTGTAGCAATACGCCATTCATTGTGATCCTAACGTGGAATGCCGTAATTCTCGAACGTTTGGAAAGTTGTCCGAAGGTCGATCATGAGATGCGTTATTATTCGAGCTTGGGCCTATGAGGCTCGATCCATACCACTGATTTCAAAAGCTTCGATCAGTAATGGCAAGAGTAATTACCTTATCAGATCACCCAGATCTCGTATGCGTTTCCGTGTAATCCGATATACCATTAGCCAATAAACGAGATGCTAGTCATCTTATATGGTAGCTTTTCACGTTGAAGTTATCCCATTTTAGACTCTCTCTCTCTCTCTCTCTTTCTCTCTCTCTCTCTCTCTATTCATATTTGACCGCCCAGAAAGACTCTTGCCACCTTTGAACAGAGAAGCGCTTCCCCATTTACCATTTCCAACTCTTGTTGCTTAGTTTGAATGAAATTTCTGTTTCAGTCACCAAAAAAAAAAAAAAGTGCATGCACTTAAACCTCAGAAAACAGTGTCTCTGCTACTCGTGCAACTCTCGCTTCCCGAGAAAATCCCTGCGCACTCGCTTCCAATCTTCCTGGATTTACGTACTTCTCTCAATTCCCAGTTGGGTTCATTTGGCAGAAGGACTGAAACAGGGGAAAAAATCTGGTTTTTCAAAATATCTGTGGGCATTGGTGCGGGAGAGATGGTGCACCGCCAGAGGTTCCATCGATGGAGAGAAGGCGAAGCGCATATCTTCGATGATGAAGAGTCGCGTGGCAGGAAGAAGCCCGAGCTCTTCTACCTCCTCCTCCTCTCTTTTCTTTCTTGCAGCTTTGTGGTGGTCCCTGAGCTGCTCGGTTCCGGTAGCCTCTCTCTCCGTTGGGTTTTGCTCGCCTCTCTTTGTTCCTCTGTTTTGTTATTTCTTCACCTTTTCTTGATGGTTTTCTTTCGTGGGATTTTGGCAGATTCTTTCGTCGTGGACAGTGAAGGCGCTGGTGAGAACTACGATGCAAATGCCCCTCCTTGTTCTTCAATGTCAAATGGTGGGTACTCACTCCTTAACTGCATTGAAAAAGGCAAGCTCAAAAGGAGGCGAAACAAGGGAAAAAATCCCAGACAAAACCTTGAACGAAATGAGTTTCTTGAAAACTGCGTTTGTAGTTGTTTTGGAATTTTTCTTTATGCGTGTCCAGCAAGTAAAACATGGCGGAAAACAAGTTGAAATTATTGGAACTTCAGTACTTTGCATACTGCTGCTCTGTTTTTTGCCCTCAGTTTCTGGTGACCGTTTTCTCTATTTTGTTGTAGCATTGCTTACTTCGAGCCCATAATCATCAAACACATAATGACAGTTTCTTTTTGTTGGAGTTGGCGAATACTTCGGGACCCTTCGTTCTCATACGGGGCACGCCCACATGAGCTTAGGGAAACCGAAGTATGATCCGACGACATGCGACCTCTACGCATGGAACGCGGGGGTTCGGGGGCAGCGCCCTTGACACGGGGGTCTCGCTGATCAGACAGCGGGCGGGGGTTCCGCTCCCCGATGAGCAGACGGCGGCCCCCCTCACCGGTGAGCGGGCGGGGGCTCGGGGGCAGTGCCCTCAAAACAACATCGGGTTTGCTGGCCCTTTTGTTGTGGGATCAAATGGATTTTGATAGACTTGGGCTTTGGACCCATTTAAATCCTATATATTGTACTCGTACGAGAGATCTTTATAACAAGTGGTTGTAGATGTAAACCTTAAAAATTATAATAGAATCCCTTTGCAGGACGTAATCCTATTCGGGGGTGAATCTGGGTAAATTCGTGCATCATTTAATTTTCTTTTATTTTCTGCGTAATCGTTCTGATTCAGTTAGCGATACACCCCCCCCATCACTTTTGGCCCTGCCCGGTGTATCGTGCCCTTGTTGCATGTAGAAATTCTAGGCTGGAGCGGGACTACTTGAATCTCTCTTGGCCTTTCCCATTTTTTTTGAATTAAAGCATTTTTTTGCAAACAATTGCAGGGACCATATGCTGTGATAGGAGCGGCTTTCGCTCTGATGTATGCATCATGAAAGGGGACGTAAGGACACACTCTCCCTCTTCTTCAGTCTTCCTTTATCTTTCGAAACAGCCAAGCAGGTTCGTCGACTTCATCTCAAGCGTTCACCGAGCAGCCGAAGGCCACGATGATGAGGAACTCCAGCACGAAAAGATAAGGCCCTATACGCGAAAATGGGAGAACACTATCATGGATAAAATTGATGAGCTTGACCTTATCGTGAAGAAAGATACCATGGGCGCTCACCATCGGTGCGATGTCTGGCACAACGTTCCCGCGCTGCTCTTTTCGACCGGAGGCTACACAGGTAACCTCTACCATGAATTCAATGATGGGATTCTTCCGCTGTACATTACGTCACAGCATTTCAAGAAGGAGGTCGTGTTTGTCATCCTTGCATATCACAATTGGTGGATTATGAAGTATGAGAACATCCTTTCTCGCCTCTCGAACTATCCGCCCATCGACTTTAGTGGAGATAAAAGAACCCACTGCTTCCCGGAGGCCATTGTTGGTCTGAAAATCCATGATGATTTGACTGTGGATCCTTCACTGATGAAGGGGAATAAGAGCATCCTCGATTTCAGACACTTCCTGGACCGTGCTTACCAGCCGCGGAGAAAAGGTTCAATACCAGACAAAAAGCGAGGGGTACAGCTGAAACTGAATCAAGCGGCTTCAGCGCCAGCTTTGAGGCAATCGATGACAATTAATAAGGACGACCAGAAACACCGGGTGAAGAAACCGAAGCTAATAATATTATCGCGCAGTGGGTCGAGGGCATTAGTTAACGAGGATTGCTTGGTTAAAATGGCAGAGGAGATGGGGTTCATAGTAGAAGTTTCGAGGCCTCATCGAACGACAGAACTGGCGAAGATGTATCGCTTGCTTAATGAGAGCGAAGTTATGGTTGGTGTACACGGGGCTGCTTTGACCCACCTCCTCTTCCTGAAGCCTGGTTCCGTGCTCATCCAAGTCATTCCTTTAGGGACAGATTCGCCAGCTGAGACATGCTATGGTAAACCTGCAAGAGAGCTTGGTTGCGAGTATATCGGGTATAAGATTTTGCCTAGAGAGAGCTCGTTGTATAGCGAATACGACAGAGGCGACCCAGTCCTTACAAATCCAAAGAGTGTGACTAAGAAGGGATGGCAATACACTAAGGAGATCTATCTTGACAGACAGAATGTGAGCTTGGACATGAGGAGATTCCACAAGCGGCTGCTTCAAGCTTATGACTATTCCTTCGCGAAAATAAACGGTCAAGTTAGCTACAATCAAACAACCAAATTGTTTAAGCTTTGCTAACTACTTCGTTATCTTCACCTTCCTTAAATAATTGTTAATAGTTTTTTTTCCATCGACTTAACGGTTGAACTGGAATAAGTACTCTCATCTGTAAATCAGTTTTTCAGGTTCATCATAAACTTGTAAAGAAGGCATTATTAACAATTTGGTGAATTGGATGACTTGTTAATGATGCTGCTCTTTCCCTTCATATGTGTTTACCTGACAGTAGGAGTTTTGGGTATATCTAAGGCAATGGCCATCTGCTTGGTTGTATCCTCAACAAAATTAAGCTGAACTTAAAAGATGGGAAAGTGATCCTCTTTCAGAAAATGAAACATGGAAGTTGTTGCTATAGTTGTGTTTTCTTTTAGACTGATGAGCCCCTCAGTTGCATTGTAGGTTTATAGCTAAATAAGTTAACTATGTAAAATCTATATCACGAGCGGCGTCGCCTAAATAAACAAAGCGATTCTCAGTTTCAGGACATGTGAAGCTATTATAATAAACTATGCTAAAAACAAGAACACTTAATACGATAATACCATTTTGGTGTCACGTAATATGAATGTCACGTTATATTCTCTGAATCTAAGCTATACAATTGAAGAGCAGCTGGTTTTTTAGCAAAGGCACCCGTCATTTCCTCCAACTCTGTTAAATGATGCCAATAGCTTCAATGAATTTAGTCATAGATTCAGAGAACAATGGGCAAGAGCAGTCGTATTTGAAAACATTGGCGGAAAAATTTCGGGTATTATTTGAAGAAACTTGTCTGAATATGTACATAAGCAGCGTGTTAAACCAAAAAATTGCTATTGCATTTGTCAACTAACTTTTCAGTCTTTCTCTCGTCAATTCTTGGTGTCTCATCTATCGTGTCAGAGCTTCAGTCGGCTTCGAGTCAAAGCATAACTGCACAGGTCATTGAACACTAAATTTCGCAATCTATAGCTACAGCCAACGCTTTGCTATCTTCGATGATGGGTGGACCGGAGGAGGCGTCTTGGCATTCCTTGCATCTTTTACATCTTATTGAAGAAACAAAAGTAAATACTCAGATGATGGACAGACTGAGATGAAATATATACCGTAAATTCAATTTAATTACATTGATTCTGCTTACCGGAATTAGTGGACTTGCCACCCAGAGAAGACCGGCGAGACCGGTCTGAACCTGTTTGAACACCTGTTAGTGATTGTCTCCTCAGTGTCCTTGTGTTTGCTGCAATTGCTGATCCTCCATTGTTACCAAATGTGGTCGAGCCTCTGACAGGTGAATGAGCTTCTGTCACATTTCTTTGGTTCCTGCAGTTGCATAGAAACCAAGTCTAAATGGCAAGATACTGATGTGAGCAAATTCTCACATTCCCGTCATTATTTGGAATTTTCAGTTGCATTACGTGTATTTCTTACTATACTATATTTGTCTAGAGCAGTATTAAGACTATTTAGTAACAAAAATTTCACTGACCTCTTTTCAGATCCATTGATGAGCTTCCCAATGGTGCGCAGGGATTTCCTTATGTGAGATTCTTTGCCATTCACGCTTTGAATCGGCAAGTTGGGTGTTCGAGGATCAGTACAAAGAGTGAGCTCTCCTGGCATCACAATCTGGATCTCGTTTTTGCTAGGTAAGAGTGGTTCAGGACTAGGTGTCTTTGGTAGCTCAAGAGGGGGAATTTGCACACTAAAGTAATTAGTCGGGCTCCTAGCGGTCTTTCGAAGGTGCTTATCCGTCGCGGAACCCTGATGGTTCAGACTTTCACAGGACTGGAAGATTTTTGTATCTTGAAACAGCCCATATTTCAGATTCGATTCTGGCTCAAATAGTGGGGGCTTCAATTCATCCTGTACTTTGATCTGCAGATTATTATTTTTGGCAGTTCTTGGGCCTTCCAAACTCAATCTTCGTGTGCGAGTAGATGCAGGAGTTTTTCTTGCCTTCATCTGAGCAAAATTCATGATTCTCCCAGTTTTGATTGTTGGTGTACGGTTTTCAATGCTTAATCTTCTCGAACGTGGAGGTGTGTGTTCATTTACTGCTTTCGGTCCATTTGGAGACTTGGGTTCCTTTGTTCTACTGAACTGCATGCTTTGCATTTCCTTGCTTGCCAGTGCCTTTTTAAGACTTTCAATCTGTAAGATTTCAACAAATTAAGTAATTATCTCCAAGTCAGAATTGCAGCTAAAAGGGGTTTTGTATGTAGACATAATAGGCCTTGCACAGTATTTGAATCTGAGAAATCATGAAGGTGAGAGTATGATGACATGGTCTATTCATTTAGATGCTTAAAAACCTACTTACACTCTTATGACATTAATAGGCTGTCGAAGAATAAATTTACCAACAGAAACACTGAATAAATAATGATACAAAAAGCTTAGAGAGAGAGAGAGAGAGAGAGAGAGAGAGAGAGAGAGAGAGAGAGAGAGAGAGAGAGAGAGAGATTATTTATAAGTTCTTTGGACAATGGATTTCAAAATCAACCAGCAATACCGAGAACATTTACTTGTTAATCTCCATGCTCAAATCAGAAAAAGATCATGTCTGTACAAAACAGATTGATGTATCCAAGTTTTAATTAGGAGAAACTGGCAAAACATGCACAAGCCAGTCCTGCAATTACACCAATTGAAGGATGCCTTTTGTCGCTTAAGAAAAATTAGGAAGCCGAGATCCACAGATCCAGCCCCTAGACTTGTAATGTTGATTATTGTTACAAAGGCATCTGAAACATAGAAATTACCCGAGTACATTTACCTGTTCTTTGAGTTGCATGACCTCACTGGTCTCTTTGTTCACGAGTGCGGCACCAAGTTCAACCGTTGAAACTCTCTGAGCAAACTTCAAGGTACTCATTGATTCCCCAAATGAATCCGCCTCAGGGTTCACATGAGCCAGCATCAATGTTTTTGCATGCCCTCCTGAAATAAAATGCACAAAAGCAATGTCACCATTTCCCAAAGATCATAATCAGGGTGCCTCTCTTTTATGAAATGTTGACTTCGGGTATTAGTAATTTTATCCTAAAACGAAGCTTCAATTAGGGGTGAGTGGTTCTAGGATGTGTACAAATTCCACCTAGAACCTAAAACCTACCCATGGGAACAAGTTTGTCATTTTTTGGAACTTGAAACCTACCTTACATACCTTGGAAGTTAGAACCTACCTTGTCACAAGTTCCAGGGTCAGTTCCAAGATTTATCCAGGTTCCACTTGTATTATTAATTGAACAATTGCTGTGAATCATCACTACTTGTTGTTACAATTCACTGACCACAACTTATATATGGACACACGAAGAATATGAAACATTAACGAGTCATAAAATGAAAGCTCAGACTAGTGGTTCCAGATTATACACTTATCATTTAACGCTATGAAACACAGCAAGATCACATGAAGACGTAGACCAAGAAAAAACACAAAAAAACTTATTTAAGGCTTCAGATTCCAGGTTCTAGGTTTCACCTATGTTTTTGGAACTTGGAACCTACCCTGGAACCCACAAGTTTCCACTGGTCAGGTTCTTAGGTTCCACGAGTTTCCACCGGTCAGGTTCTCAGGTTCCACGTTCTAGCCTAGAACCATGCTCACCCTTAGCTTCAATAACACCTGACAAACTTCGAAATAGGTACCTAGAGAATCTTGCAGCAGAAGCGTAAGTTTGCTATTGCGGTAAGGTACATGGGAGTTTTTCTGGGCCAAAGCTGTGATAACATCTCCCAGACAGGACAAAGACCGGTTAATGTATTGTGCCTCCTTCAATCTCTCTCCTGTGACTTCAGATTTATCTACCCGTTCACTTCCTGCAAGATCAACCAAATGCAGGCAACTACGGAGGATGGATCCAGAGACATCTTTCCCTTGAACATGTACTGTCAGCACACTGCAAGGATGCATCCAATGGCATCAATATCACTCTCTCGAATAATCTATCCATTGGAAACTACATCACAATTTATACTAAAAAAGAATGGGAAGGAAACTCTGCCTGTCCAAAAACTGACCTGTGTGACCGGCTACTTCTATTGTTTAGTGCTGTAGAATTGACGACACGATTCATATCACCAAGTTTCATTAGGTTGACCACATCAGTTGTGGACTTGACGGTATGCATGGTAGCATCTGGAAGGCTCAAGCCACCGTCACTGGTACAGCTTCGAATCTCTAATTTGTGCATCGTCAAGGAACCCAAATTTACATTTCGAAACTTAGTTAGACTTTCTTCAGTCTTTTTATCTACTTATTTGACAACAAATGTATCTATCATTCATTTCAAAGGATATCTTGAGGATGCTGAATCCTCAGCCAGGAGATCACGCACTTGCTCATTATATATTTCAACCATCTGAACGTGAATCTCGTAAGTTACAATGTCTTTCCTTCTGTTAGACAACTCGAAGAGATTGTTGAGAGCCAAGTAATTAATCCCCATGTCCTTTGTCAGTTCGCCCGATAGACCACACTGTAATTCCAAAAGGCAATAAGTAGTTATCCCTCGAATCAATGTTAGCAATCATAAGCATCTGCTTAGGTTTAATTATGTATATGCTTTGCAGGTAGATAAATAAAATTAAGAGAACATCCATCTGCCAGTGAGGATGCACACTTTTCAACAAATCATCTAGGAGCCTAGGAGGTGATCTGGCACAAAGGTAGGATCTACAAAAGCTACATGTGCAAGTTCTTACCATTGTATGTGTTTTACCCGATCCAGTTTGACCATAAGCAAAAATGCAGACATTGTAACCATCCATGACCGATCTAATCAAAGGTTGTGTATCCATGTACACATCATCTGCAAAGAGGGTCACATGGCGGAAAACAATTACATTGTTGTTTAAAAGCTGAACAGCAATTTCCAAACAATCACTTGGCCAATGATATACCCTTGATAGTAAGATGAAGTGTAACAATACCTTGAGTAGCAAGTGGACCGAAAACCCGATTAAACTGAAACGCTTTCCTTCCATCTCTTTGGGGTTTTAAAGGGTCAACAATCACAAGTGAACCATCTTCTCCAATAAAATCTACCACATTTTTGGCTTCCGCATTAAAAATGGGCCTAATTCTGCAGTAAACTCGTATATTACCTGAAAAGATGTTTATTAAATTAAACTCATAATATTGGAGTTAAAACCACAAAAGCTCCTTTACTTAATAGCGACTAACCCCTAGATAAGCATATACTTTTGCGGATAAATGCGGACTGTTCAAAAAATTGAGTTATGTGATCCAATTCATAAACAAACAACTCTCCTTGAAAAGAGAGCTAACCTTTTAAATCCTGAACCATGTTGTATAGGTTTCGATTTTCCTTCACCACCTTATGATATCCAAGAGCAGCTGTAGACATCTCCTGGACTTGATTACCTGATCCATTGGAAAAGCAAAAACAAATATTAATGCTCAGGAAGCATGTCACATCGAGCTTGGTTTCTGTTTAATAAAATGCAAAAGCTAGAAAAAGATCGTAACAAGATCCCATTAATTCATTTTTGAAGTTGAAATTTGAGGATTATTGCCAAATCTTAAGAAGCATATTAATCACAATGGCCTCATTCTGAGATAATAACATTCAGAGGAGCCGTAAT